TCTGCCACGGGGGATCTACGATCCACTGCGTCGAGGTAAAGGTGTGTTTTTGTTCCTGGACGCGCTCTGCGAGGGTGGAACGCGATCGGTGATGTGCGGAGCGCAGCTGCAGGTGGCGAAGCTGCACTCTACGCAGCTGTGCTGGCTGCACCGCTGCACGGCCGCGCGGCACGGTCGATGGACGAAACCCTGCTTTCTTGTTCCCCCCCCCCCCCGCACCCCCACCGTAATATTGGCGGGCTGCACCGCGATGTGCCGATCTGTCGACTGGCCGAAATCCTGCGCCCCACGGGCGATGCCAACCAGCATTGAATCTGGGACAGGGGTGCGCGCCGTGCTTTGAGAGATTTCGCAAGTAAGGCGGACATTTCCGCCCTGCTTTTCAAGCTCCTTGAACGTCGATTTTCGCCTTACTTTGCCGTCGTTGCTTCTGCCCTACCTTTGTGGAAACGACCGCCTCATGTTCCTGAGGCAGAAATCTCCGCCCTACATTTTCGCTTCGTGTGGGGTGCATTCCCAACAAAATTTCGAATCGGGCCCCCAAAACCGTGTGGTGACGGACCGCGTGGTGACCTTGGCATCCCCAACGACCTCACCACGCGGTCCGTCACCGCACGGTTTGGGGACCTCGGAGGCCCCAGGTCGCTCGAGACATCCTAAGAGAACGACTCGAGCTCTAAAACCGCGTGGTGACCCCGAATCCCCAGTGACTCATCACGCGGCGTGGTCACCATCACGAGGAGGAGGAGGAACAGGAGGAGGAGGAGAAGGAGGAGGAGGAGGAGGAGGAGGAGGAGGAGGAGGAGGAGGAGGAGAGGGCCGCCCCGATTCACGGTCAGGAATTTTTGTTTAGCGTGTCGCAGCGGCGGCCCTGGCGAGGCGCTATGCCCTGCAAGCGGATGGCGTGTGGCTCCGCTCCGCGGGGGCGGGAAGCTCGGGAAACGTTGGAAACGTTACGCCTCGGGGCCGGAAAAATGCGTAGCGCGTCGAGGCCGCAGCGCGGTGGGCCAGGACCGGCGGAGCGACGCGCCATCCAAAAGCTCCCGATCGTGAGCTTAGGTCGGGCCTGTCCCCCCACAAGGGGATTTTGGGCGAAGAATGAAACATACTCGAAAATACTCCCCAAATGCTCAAAGATAACCAAAAACAGAGTCCCCAGGCTATCTTCTTACTATGTTCGAATCTTCCTCCTGTAGAGGGACGCGCCCGACTGAACCGCAAGCCGGAAGAGCAGCCAGGGCGCGGCGGACCCAAAATCGGGGACTCTGTGCGCGGCTCCAGAGCGCAGCCGAGCGCAAGGGAGGGGTCCGGAACGGTCGGGACGTCCCCTTGAAGGAAGAGGGGAGGAGGATAGAGGAGTAACAGGAGGATGGAGGAGGACACGGATGAGGGAGGAACAGGAGGAGGAGGAGGCACAGGAGGAGGAGGAGGAACGGAGGGAGAGGAGGAGGAACAGGATGAGAGGATGAGGAGGAGAGGAGGAGAGGAGGAACAGAGGAGGAGGAGGAGGAGGAGGAGAAGGAGGAGGAGGAGGAGGAGGAGGAGGAGGAGGAGAGGGCCGCCCCGCGCGGCTCGGCGCGCCGCGGCGAGGGAGGCTCGGCGAAGCCCTGCGAGGGGCGCCGCCCCTCCGCCCTGCTTTGGGGCGGCGGGCGCGCCCCGCGGTGGCCCCACCCCCCATCCCCTCGTCTCCGCCCTGGCCCCCCTTCCCCCTCTCTCTCTCT